GTGCTTTTCGCGTCCGTCTATCCGTCTGTCCGTCTTCTCGTTCATTATTCCGTCTGTCAATGCGTCCGTTCGTGCGTCCATCTAGTCAGGGCCAGGATTCTGGCTCACGAGGGGCTAGTTCGTTAAACGTCCACCACGCGCCGCAAGAAGTTGAACCCTCCCCCTCGTTCCCTCTTTTCTCCTCCCACCACGACGCTGACGAGTTCACTACAAAAATGGCTTTGCTCTTCAACCTGTTCTCGCCCACCCCTCATTGCGGGAACCAAAGAATAGCGCCCCGCTGCCAGTGCACTCTTACTCACGTCGTTTTAAGGGGTCGTGAAATTAAAATGAAACTTCCCAGTTGCAATTTTCTCTGATTTAATAAGGATTGAAGATACCGATTCCGAAATATTTCGGCACAATATTTTTTCTATAAATAATGACGCCCGTTTAAAATCGCAGTTTTTTGGGGATCGCTAGCTACTATGCGCGACTGTCGTTAGCTATAAGCACTAAAATTTGACGTCAGTAATACGTCATCTTAAGAAGAGTAAAAAACAAAGCGATAGCTTTACTTCGCTCTAAAGTAATATAACTATAGGATAATAAAAAAGAAAAAAACAACAGAGCTGTTTTTGCGTTCTGAGCTCTAAGATGTACAATGACTGTGAGTGACCTGCTCGGTTCTGCTTTCCACTACATCCGGGCTGTCACGTGTGTGTTAATGCCTTCGGTCGGTTGCCTTTGCTCGGTTAGGTGGGCTAGCTCGGTCGGTGCGCTCAGTGATGCATCCCAGTTTTTTTTTCTTACTGATTACACCAACTTGTGTTTTACTGAGACTAACGTGGTTACTTGGGCGAGTTGGTACGACATGATTCACTTAAAAAACAGTGCCAATAACGAGGGACAAGAGAAAGAAGGAGACAGACAGCAGAACTGACTTACAAGAAGATTTATTTGCCAGAGCCGCACAATATATACTTGGGCAGTATCTAAAAAAAAGAGAAAAATACAAAACAAACAAAACAGAATCCACCTAACAACCACGTAGTCATCTCCACAACGCACCATGAACAACACCTGCGCTAACATGCCGAAGGAAATCTATTTCTTTTAGTGATAGCGCAATCGAAGGCCTGCTGACACATGCACTGCCCAGCCTTTCTATTTCTGAAGCCTCACAAATTTCACGTATCATCTGGTCCCGATGACGCCTAATGACGGTACAAAGCTTAAAATCAGGGACACAACCATAGTTTCGGCAATGAATGCCGAGATGGCCCGAAACTAGAGGAGACATGTGAGCGTGCTTTTTCAGCTGCTCATTTAAACACCTGCCTGTTTGGCCGATGTACCACTTGCCGCAGGACAGGGGTAGAGAGTACACCACTCCTTCAATGCATGGAACGTACTTCTTTCGATGCTTGACTTTGCAGCCTCGCTCACCCCTCGAACCAGGAATCACGGCCTTGCACAACCTAGCCAGTTTTTCTGGGGCAGAAAAAACCAGGTCTACGTTGCACCTGCTGGCCACTTTTTTGAGATTTTGGGTGACGCCGTGGATATAGAGAATAACGACGAAGTTTTGTTTCTCCCGTCCCTTATCCTTTGTACGGGTCTGAGCATTATTTTTTGGGCTCGTTCTGATTTCTCTGAGTATATATACACTCAGCAACGGCGGTCAAAAACGCTATGCCAACCGTGTGCATCGTTAGACAGTGCCGCACTACCTATGGAAGTGCAAACAACGTTCGCTTTCACAAGCTGTCCAGCGAGCCTCAGCGCAGAGCAGCGCGGCTTCGAGCTATCAACCGCGATTGTCCCGCTGGTCTGGGCTCAGAGAGTTCTCGCTGGCTTAGTCCTCGCTATGCCAACCGTGTGCATCGTTAGACAGTGCCGCACTACTTATGGAAGTGCAAACAACGTTCGCTTTCACAAGCTGTCCAGCGAGCCTCAGCGCAGAGCAGCGTGGCTTCAAGCTATCAACCGCGATGGTCCCGCTGGTCTGGGCTCAGAGAGTGGGTTCGAGTGTTCCAACCACTTTCTGCCGCAAGAACCAACCTCAATGTCCTTCCGAGTCTTGGTTTTGAAACAAAAAACGCTCGCCTCAAGCGTGACGCCGTTCCGACGCAGAGCCTCCTGCTCGACGCACCACCGAAAAAGCTGAGGAGATGCAAGATAAGTCTGCAGCACGAATAGGCGTGCGCGAGGGGGGGGGGGGGGGGTAGAAACCAGCCACATACGTAACAATGTAGGGAGGGGGGAAGTGAGAGGGGGCGCAAGATCAGCCGCATACGTCGACATGATAGGGAGTGAAGCAGGCGTACGACGAATTATCACCCCCTCTCTCTCTAAAAGGGAACCCTGCACGAGTTGCTCAGGCGTGTTTCGCGAGGAATGGTGTCTTGAACCCACGCACTGTGCTCGGCGACCCGCGCTGTGAAAGCAGAGCGAAGGTGGCAGCCCTTCCTATTGATTTGTTTATAAAACTTCAAAATGCGCAGCGTATATTCGACCACTCTCTGTCACCCCCCCCCCCCCCCCCAATGTTCATGGGACGTTAGTTAGCTAGCTCAAAAGTAGGCGTAAACGAAGAAAAAGCGCTGAATGTGATTCTGCATGGCGATTAGACCCGGAGCGGAGGGCAAAGCTATGTCGTAGTTATGTACGTGAAGTTCTCCGAGTACGTTTAGACACGCGGTTATAAAGCTGACACGAGAATAAAAAGATGCTCGCGTACATGCTTCAGCAGGCCTGTGCTGTGTGCGCAATGAGCGGCCCACGTATTGTATGTTTGGAAGCATATGTGTAGTTTCTGGCTTGTCACTTTCGCCACCTGACAACTTGGCTTTTTTTTTACTTTTCATTTAGGAACGGCCCCATTCCCAGGATGTGGTCGATGCATCAATGCGTGAAGAAAGCCAAGTTTCACAACGAATGGTTCAAAATTGTATGCATACCTGCAAATCTACTTGTGCTGTTGTTAGCCAGACTTACGACATTCTGCCTCGAAGGGTTGAGAACTGCGCGCAGACTACCACAAATACTTGCACTGTTGCTTGCCAAATTAGTGGCAGTGATGTCCGAACACAATGTAAGGTTTTTTTTTCGACGTATTGGTGTGCTGCTTTTCTGAGAACCTTAGAACTTATTGTAGTAATAGGCCATTTTTATACTACTTACTCAATTTTAATAATGTGAAGAGGAACGGTGGATTTATTAGTGCGCCATTTTCCATTGAAATATCTGTATGCTGAACAAATTCTGTAGGTGGCAGTCGTGTTGTGAGGTCGATATAGTAAAACTGTAGGGAGTTTTTGTGTAAATTATTTTTCGAAGCTGAGGAGGACATATCGCATTTTAGTGGCAGATAGTAAGAGCATAGCCTATATTGGGTCCTGTGTGCGTACCCATAAATAACTGATAAGGATATGCCCGCTAAGAATGAATGAGCAAAAAATTTACCTAGAATATGCTGTGCGCTCTATTTACTGGCATTGAAATTGCCAAAAGCTGTACTCTTTGGCATTATACCAATGTTATTATTTTTTTTCACTTTCAGGTACGCAGGTGAAGTTGTGTATGCGTTCAAGAAAACGTGTGAAAGTACAGACAAAGCTCATTAGAACATCCTGTGAAGATGCTGTTAGAGCCACTGCGAGTGCTGCTTGCCCCACAACAGCTCGATGTCTGTCACCAGTTTCATTTTTTCCACCGCGATCGTCCAGTCCCGTGCAATCTGATATATTGGCCACAGAAGACGTACAATCGACTACATTGGACATAGAACACATGCTGTCTGATACATTGGACACAGAAGACGTGCAATCTGATTTATCGGACTCAGAAGAGGAGGAGGTTGCCATGAATAATTCTGAATACATCCCTTCATCTAATGACATGTCCTTGCAGTGAGGATTGCAACTTTCTCTGCACTGTCACAGATTGTGCACTATATGTGAATGCATAATCGTGTCATTAAATCAGATGACCCACTTAGAATAAACAAGCAACAGTGGTCCTTGATCCACCAATGCACTCTCTCAATATGCATGTCTAGATAGTGCCTGCTATATATATGAAATCACAAAAGGGTGATATTACATGCAACACTATTCAATTCCAGATTATGTTGACCTGCTATTGAAGGAGAAAGCACGTTGCTGCGAACAGTAGCCATCATTTAACGCAGCTTTTGCTGCAAACCAGTCAACTGCTCCACTACCAGTGAGCCATTCTTTTCCAAAGCCCTCCAAGCATGAACTTGTGGCAGCAAAAAGATCTAGGTTCGCCACTGGCACGGGAAGCACCACACTCTAGTATAGGTGGGCATACTTCATTACATTGCTGTAATAGTGTCGGTAATTTATTTCAAAAAATTTATAAGGAAGTGACACGTTCATTTAGAGAGCCGTAAAAAACACTGACGTTACCTGGCGGTTTGCCTGGAGCAGAACATTTTTATAATTTGTTACTCTCTTTACTTCTATATGCAAACTGGTGTATGGTGATAGAAATGAGAACAGCAGAAAGCATGGCTTTCGATCCATTCAAATTATGGCATGCCTCGACTACTGCTAGGTGAATCTAGCCAGCATCACTATAACACTAGAATCACATTCCTGCAGGTGCAATTGCACAGCAAGAGCATGATTTTGACCTTACATTTCTCTCCGTCATGATAGTACACGAAGCTGCACAAGAATCATTCTGATATTGCTACTCAATCAGCCGAAAAAAGAAAACTAGAGGGACTCAATTTGTCTAAGGAACAGATGTGGACAGAATGCACAAATATATTTATTGCTCCAACACATGCTTCATAAGCAGTATCAGCACATTAAAAACAAAAATAAAGATGTTTACAAAAAGCAAAGAAATAAAGTGAAATGATGCAACTTTCATTTTGAACAATCGTGGTTTCCTGGGCATGTTACTTTTTGAAATCCTTTCATTTGCAGTAGACCTTTACAAAATTCAAGTCATTAGACTTCTGTACATTTTTTTATTGAAAAGGCTTAATTATTGTGTGCATACTGGAAACCAGTAAAAGTCTCAGATGGAAATCTCTCTCTTATTTGGTGTACAGCACATGCTGGGAGGACCTTCCGATGATATCTGCCCAGGCATCCCCAAAGCCAGTGTGAAAGCTGTCTGTAGCCAATGTAGCGGTACTGCCTGTCAATAAGAGAGGAAGAGCAACAGTCATCATTTCCTTCCAGCATATCTACTGTACAAAGTGACCCTTTAGGCCAGAGAAACGGAAAAATGAATTGGCGCGAAGCTGAGTTGAAGTTCAGTGGCATTACAGGCATCTCTTTGTCTACCTCCAACCTCGTTTCCAAGCCAAACGAATTGATCCACCGTAAATTTTTTCTTAGCAGTGCTGTGAACTGAGTTGCACAACATTGTGAGGATGGTTGGAAAGGTGAGAAGACAAAGAAAAACTGTAACGTGACTGCAATCAGCTGTTGTGGCCAGTCTAACGCCTAAAGGCAACAGTTTTCAGGCACACAAACCTGATGATTTAGGGAACGTTCTGCATAAGAAAGGTTGTATGAATGGCACATCAGGAAGCAGCAATGAAACTTTGTTCTTGGTGCCATTCATCTGCACGTGCCAATGTGGTGGTATGCTTCTTGAGGTTGATGTAGCACACCCTTCTGGAAAAAGGAAGGTCAAATAGAAACTCGATTCACACAGTGCACTAAGAGAAAAATATATTTTGGCCATTTGTGAGCTGTCGTCGTAAGCCTGTTTTTGGAATGGTGCAAGAAAAAGAATTTCGACAATTCATTGCCTGTAATTTGTTGCATGTAGCTGAACCCTACTGAATCGTGACTACCACAAAAGGTAATATTCACGCACTTCAATTTCTAAATCGCGTGCTTCAACAAATAGTGAACGCACCGTATTTTCATCTCACTGTACCAAATTTTCAAAACGTAATGTAATACGTGCGAGTGTTCCTCACAAACACAAATTTCTCCATCAATTTTGTCCTACATCGCTATGAAATCATTTTTAATGAGAAAAAAGTTCCTCATGCACTTATAGCCAAGACAGATGGGCCGTACCTTACAAGCGCACAAATTATCTCATGCAGTCACTGAGGCTTAGCCTACCCTAATTACTAAATAAATATTAGAAAGGAAAAACAATGAAACTAATTAGACATGCTAAGAAATCGGAATGTAGTTTTGCAAATCTGAATGAAGGCATAAATAAAATGAAACAGTTCTTGCATTTTTATATTGTCCTTCTTCTATTGACGCTCAAGTGTTTCAATGAACAATGTACATATAATACCATTTACTATTGCATCGTCTACTCAAGTGCTGCTCCATTGGCGGTGGACGAACAATAAATCAAGGTAATGTGTCCGGACTGCGGTCAACCATGTTTATTTCAGTGCTTTTTTAGTGTTATCACTACCACTGTTTCTGATGCGCAAATGCATTTGATCAATATTTTGTTCAAGATACTGTGTGTTTGTGTGTGTTATTTGAGATGTTCTATTTTCTCAGTTGCACTGAAATATTGTATTTAGGTATATAGTGAACATGATGCTACGGGGCGCCACAAATAAACATTCTAGAAAAGAGGACGATGTTTAGCGCGAGCTCGTGCAGACCGGGCTCCATATTGTATGCCTGCCTGTTTACCAAAAGTAAAGGCATTTTTCAGACGCCTTCTCCCCGTAACATTTTGGTGGAGTGTGCGGGTCTTCCCACAGTCAACACCACGACGATTCTACGCAGCGGACGTTCCTTGGCTACCTGTGCGATGCCTGATCAAGACGAACACGAGGATTCTTCAGAGACTACCCCGAGCGTGCTTCGTCCAACTACGCAGCAACCAACAGCACCGCATCCAGCTGCTACTAACCGCACCGTCGTCCTGACTCAACCGCGTGACCCAGGCACATTTTCGGGCAGTGACAGTACTGACGTGGAGGAATGGCTTCAGCTGTACGAAAGGGTGAGCGCTCTTTACAAATGGGATCCGACGCTCATGTTGGCCAATATTATTTTCTACCTTGATGCTACAGCTAAAGTTTGGTTTTCCAACCACGAGGAAGATATCACGAGTTGGGACATCTTTAAGCAGAAACTCATCGATCTCTTCGGCAAGCCCATCGGGCGTCGTCGTGCTGCGCAGAAAGAACTAGCGTCCCGACTCCAGTCCAGCACCGAGTCGTACGTCACATACATACAACATGTGCTCGCCCTCTGCCGGAAAGTTGATGACAAGATGCCGGAATCTGAAAAGGTCACGCACATCTTCAAAGGAATCGCCGATGACGCCTTCAATCTTCTCGTATTTCGAAACTCATCGACCGTAGACGACGTTATTAATGAATTCCGACGCTTCGAAGACGCGAAAAGTCACCGTATCACTCCACACTTTTCGCGTCTTCCCAACACGGCTGCAACATCAACCTGCGAGGACGCCCGTTTGGCACCAGCCCCTGCTGCTTCCGACAATATCGTGCGCATCGTGCGCCACGAAATCGAGGCAGCATCTCCCCTGTCTGACCAAGTCCAGGCCCCTGACGACCCACGCGCCACGATTTCTTTAATCAAGAGTGTCGTACGCCAAGAACTGGCCAACGCCGGACTTCAGACGCTACGCCCCGTTAACCGACCTGACTACCGACTGCCCAGTACACCAAATATGTCCCGTGGACCGAACAACCGCCCACGTTACCGGAACCCAGCAGAATGGCGAACTTCCGATCACAGGCCAATCTGCTTCAACTGTGGACGAGTGGGCCATATTTCACGTCATTGCCGCACTTCCTGGGGTTGGCAGCCATGGTCGCATTATGCCAACACCCGACGCCTACCTGCTGGCTCTCGGATGCCTATCTACACTGCACAAGATGATGCTTCGCCATCCAGGCCCGCCCAACCAAGCCGCTCCCCGTCGCCCTCTGGACGCATGTCCCGCTCAACTAACCGACGTCGCTCCCCCTCGCCCTCCTACCACCAGTCCTCGGAAAACTGACGGGCGCAGCTCCTAGACGTGAGCCTGCTTTGACGACCCGACCCAAAATTCCTCTACACACGATACCCGGACACAACAACTTGATTCAAGTAAATGTTGACGGTACTTCTGCGGCAGCACTCATTGACACCGGCGCTCACATGTCAGTCATGAACTCCAGCCTTTGTGCTCGACTCAAGAAAGTGCTCACTCCTGCTCCGATCACTCTTGTACGAGTAGCTGATGGTGCAACACCAGCAGTCACCGGGATGTGTGCCGCCCGTGTCACTGTTGCTGGACGTCATACCACTGTTCTGTTTTACGTACTGGACCACTGCCCACATGACATCATATGGGGACTCGATTTTCTGTCGTAGCATTCCGCCCTAATTGACTGTTTTGCTGGTGTTGTTCAGCTCGTCCTACCACACGCCGTTGACCCTCCTGATCCTGCGCCGCCAAAGTTATGCTCCGCCGACTTTGTTCGCCTATCTTGTCGAGCTGTGACGTATATCTACGTCTCTTCTGATCCACCTGTGGCTGACGGCGATTATGTCATGTCACCTAATCCTACAGTACTTTGTTCGCTCAATGTTGCGTTCCCCCACACCATCATCACAATGAAGAACAACGTGGCATGTCTCCCTATTGTGAACTTTGGACTTTGCTCTGAAGTGCTGCCACGAGGAATATCCCTTGCAATCCTTGCCCCGGCCAGTGACACAGTCCTTCTCTGGACGCCGTCACGGCGAGTTGGCCTGTGCGAAAAGCTGACTTCACCGTAATCGGGTCCGTACCGTGTGGTGCGCCAAGTCACCGACGTGACATATGAAATTGAACCTCTTAACGACACCAGCGCGCGATCGTGTTCTGACGTTGTTCACGTCACTCGGCTGAAACGATTTTACTCAGACCAACCAAGCACCGAGACGGTGCCTTCGCCGCCGGGGGTGATGCTACGGGGCGCCACAAATGAACATTCTAGAAAAGAGGACGATGTTTAGCGCGAACTCGTGCAGACAGGGCTCCATATTGTATGCCTGCCTGTTTACCAAAAGTAAAGGCATTTTTCAGACGCCTTCTCCCCGTAACAATACGTATGTATGCTGGTTTTGGTGGTACTGCCACAACGTGAGTGCCTTCAAGCAAATTCAAGCTGTATAGTGCAGCTTTCGCCTGTAAGACCATCAACAATTTTATTGGAAAATAATACCATTTTGTATGTACTGTTATTGCATGAATTGCATTTGTGAATGCAATAAAACCACTAATTGCAAGTTAGCTTCATACGTGTGTCTCCCTCTTAATATTTATCCCTGTCGCGGTGGATACATGATACGAATTATGAATCTAAACCAAGTTGTCCCTCATCGTGAATTGGTGATTCTTTGAATGTTGTTGTAGACGGCCTGTTTTTTATAGGCCTACATATTCTCATGATCATCTCAATAGAACAGCACTTCTAGCTTTCCCTGTGCTAAGCTTTCAGCACATTTATTTACTATAGTTTGATAAGAAAAATAAGCTGCTTTTAAAATTTCAAAGTTTATTCGATAAGGTGCTATCTCAGAGTGACCCGAGTGTAACTATGCTCTAAATTCGCTTTCGAACCCACTCTATAACCAACATTTTTTTTCCTGCCAACATATTGCTTCACCTGCAGCCTCGATTACACGTTGCACACTCAAAATGATGCATTTAAGAGGAAAAGTGGTTATCATACGAATGATGGGTGGCTTCAATGAGATCAGAAAGTAGGCGTCTTTATGGAAACGAATGATAGGTTACGTTGTAGGCATAATAACAAATTGTGCCTACAACACCTATACATTATCACCTAATACGGGTTCATAACAGATATTTGGCAAAGAACACAATGAGTGTTAGGATGGTGATTATTGTGGACTTGAATGTATGCGCCTTTACTGTATTCGCCTTTATGTAAAGCCTTCTGTGAAATAAGACAGCTTGTGCCCATTGTTTTGACATTTAGTATTGCATCATCTTCTTAAGTGCTGCTTCATTGGCAGTGAACGAACAATAAATCAAGGTAATGTGCCCGGACTGCGGCCTAATTATTTTCATCATTATCAGGCCGTTGAGATATCTCAAATGAGTGAGTGCCCTTCCATACCACGATCGGAAATTCACACATGCCACGAGACACATTCCCTTTTGGCGTTTAGTCGTGAATTAGACCGAGCAGTAAACTTGGGTGGTCAAACTAACTGCTCGGCCGCGTCTTATGGCATAAAAAATAAATAAAGTGTGAGCGTGGGGTTAGGAGGCGTAACGATCGACACTTATTATCTTGCTCGCACTGACGTGTTTCGCAGTCGGCACTTCGTGAGGCATGACGCTAACTCATCGACTTATTTCCCTAAGCCCCAATGTGTGCGATCACAAAGAAGTTAAAACTTTCACCAACACACTCTCGCACAGCATCATTAGAAAAAGAGCGATATCAGGCGGTCATTTATTCATGCTGTGCTGCCTTTGTGCAAGCTGCTTACCCTGTTTCCTCTACTAGCGGCCCATGGTCTTCAAACATTTGAAGGAGTACGCCGAGCGCTGGGTGTGAAAATACGGGTGCTCTGTAATGCACCCAGACGGCTGCCTTCGAATCGCTGCCTGGATTTCGCGGCAGCAGATGCTCTCAAGAGTGGTGGGCATCGGCACGCACTGTCCGCAGGTACACCTAATAGAATAGCTAGATTAGCTATTGCACACACTGGCATGCTGCTCAACATAGACTTCAAGACTTGAACGTACCAGCGCGTATTTCCGAGACGATCGGGTTCAGGAGGGTCGTGGTCGGGGCTTCCACTAGCGGAGGTTTTTCCACGCGGTCTCGATACGAGTGCCCCCGCGGCGCAGGCTTTTTCACCATCGTCGCCGCGGCCGCTGTCTTGCGCTGACGATGGCCGGTCTCGCACCCGCATGGGTGCGTCGGCGTACGGCTCAAAGCTTAAGAGCCGACTCCGCCCGAGCAGACGACGCTGTAGTTCGGGGAGGTCGGCCATTGCACACTGAGTGTCCATGATGTTATGGTGTTGCCGGAACCACAATCTAAACGGTGTGATGCTTCAAACCACGGTCAACTTAAACTCGAAAACATCGCTGCGTCGTCATGTTTGGTCGACGACAAAGACTTTTCATTGGCTGTCTTAAAATGACGTCAACTGCGCAGTTGACAGGAACGTGAGCGGGGAAACCGAAATTGCGCTTTTTTGTAATCCAGCGAACCCAGACATTAAACGAATCGAGATTTAGTTATAAATGGACGGCCAGGATTCTGAATACACACGGAGTTGAAAATTGTTGGAGGACGTTTCACGACCCCTTTAAGAGCCGGCTGGTATAGAGTACGCGAACAGGTTTCGGACCGGCCATGAACAATTTTTCAGACTGAGGACTTCTTTCTTTCTTTGGCTTGGTTGAATTCGAGTCCTCACAGTTTTGATATAGTTATAGATAATTTATATACAAAGAAGCTACGACCAACTCCATTACATTCTTTAGTTTTTTTCTCGTCGTAGGTAATCTATTGTATTCATAATATCAGGTTCAATACTTAATTTGTGGCTAAGCCATATTATTTTCCGACCCAAACTTTTTGTAGGGCAGAACAAATATTTTAATCTCGTTTTTATGGCTATTGGGTGATTGAAAAGCACGCAAAAAATTAAGAAAGATATTAGCAGAACGATTTTTACAACAGAAGCATGTCCAGTATATTGAACAATGGGATTAATTTGTTGAACATATAGGTACATACATTCTGCTATTCTCTTAAAAAGAGCGCTGATTTTGGCCCTATTAGGTTAATAGTTTTACAAGCGGCGTTTGTTTTGACCCGAGAAAAAGTTTCTCGTGGTAGAAGAGAGCGTGGCTACGTTGTCCACAATTCAACTTCATCATGCGCTGATCCTTCTCATGCTTCATGCTGTTGATAGACTCCCAGCATGCCCCAGTTTTATTTTTTTATGACTGGGCTTGAAGAGTGTCACGTCAAGCCAACTCTTGTTTGTTTTTTTCCTTCTAAATTGAGCACGATGTGCACCAATTGCATCTTGGTGTGAGTGTACTGGACAAAAGCAATTCTCGCATTGCCAGAAAAGTTTTTATTAGAAAAACTACATTTTTGCAACAATGTACCGAAAGACATGACAGAGCTCGTACAATTTAAATGATATCAATGGTGCAAAGATATGTCTTGAAATACTTTTGTATACTTGACCGCATCATGCGCACGCATTTTGGCGCAGATTACGCGATTACTTATGGTGCCCGATAAATATGTGAGGCTGAAGGGTGAACTACACCTAAAAACATGTTACGCAACTCTTACAGAAGCTACCAAAGTGGTTTCAGTTCCGACTGTAGCTCTGCTTACTTTTATGCATCACTTTTACCGTCATGTTTTTGTCAGCGACTAAGTATATGTACCACCCTCCTGAAATTACCAAATGGTGATTGCAGTAACTGTAAATAAATAGTAATAATAAATAATGTGTTCAGTACATTAGTCATGGAGCAGGAAAAGAATGCGCTTGTTAACTACATAGTAAACACTCCGAGATTGTACTGTTCAGTTATCCCTTGCGGAAGCTCTTTCGCTTTCTTATTTCTTCGTAGCGCTTATTCTTTGCGTCAATGTGCGTAAGGAGCTAAGTATAGTTCCATAGAGAAAAGAGCACCAGAGACTCGGAACGAACAGTGCAGTTACAGTGTAAGTTGAAGGAGCGGCTTTTGTAGACCTTTTTGTAATTTAGTGTTAACATCTCATTTGCTGGCATCTCATTGCAGGTGTCTTATTTTATAAGGTACTCAGCATAGTTCCGTAAACTGCACTTCAAACAATGCCTGTTTCAAGGGACAGCGTGTCCCTGATTGTTTTTGCCCTAATACGTGACAACATTTCATTAACGAGCTTCGAAACTCCAGATTATGCAGCATCGTGTGTTTAACAAAAGATTTGCTACACCTAGAACTATTGTGTGTTAATGTTTTTGGCTCATTTCAATCGCATTGTTGTATTACAAATAGTAAAAGATAAATAATTTATGTAACACTTCATCTGGCGAGATTTCATCGCGACATGTGAAAGGAAATTTCATAGTGTTATTGTGCACATTACAAGTGCTTTATGCAACAGGTAGTCGCATGTGCAACGATCTCCGCCTTGTTGGTATATGTGTTGAAGGCCTGCGCAGCAATAAAGCAGCTATCGAATGGGGTCCTTGGCGTACGATGTAAGGGATAACATGCTTAACTTAAAAGCAATTTTAAACCCACGCTGTTTATTTACGTGTACATCTCAAGTATGTAGTGCTTCCTCTCGCGCCCGGATATTGTCAGAATTCAGAGCTTGATTTTGTGATAGAAGAGTGAATGCACCATAATTATTGCCTATATTAAATTGGAAAATATTGATGATAATTCACCTTTCTACTCAATGGTCTCGCTGATGTATGTGTACACATGGCAACGGCAGGAACACTAATCATGCTGTAGCCAAGAAAAAAAAGTGATGCAGAACATTTTGTATTAGTCTATCAAACAGGCATCTATTGAGAATATCCCAGTAGTTGCTAACGTGAGTTCATTACTGGCAGCAATATGCTTTTATTTTTCCTTCCGGGAAAAAAGGACACTGAAGTTCACGTTTGCTGCCATGGTATACAGTGTTACACCTTCAACGCTCCCACAGTTCAGACAAGAGCGTAGGATGAAAATCTAGGTGAATTACACGCTTGATACACGTAGCATTTTATTTTCAACAGCAGAGTGTTTAGGCTTCATTTCCAGCTTGGCCGACGGCCTCTCCGAACTCGGAACACACGTGTCAAGCCCAGCGGAAACAAAGCATTGCCATATATACATGTCGAGTCGATAGGCTGATATAGCAAAAAAGGAGAAAGAAAACTGAGTAAGAGGTAAAGTAAATAAAAGTAGTTGGGGTAGGCCACCAGCATCGTTGCTTCCGCAGTCTTCTCGTGTGTGCCAGTAAAATCTGCAATTGTTTTCTTTAGCTAAGCAATAACATTCGTTTATATAATAATGATATACAATTCGCATTCCTTCGCATAGTACTAAAGCACCCGAAGTGGTCTAGTTTGTAAATGTTACAAAGGGAAGTGACAATAAAATGCATCATGGAACTAGAAGAGCATTCTGTTGATAAGCCTGCTTTTTTTTCTTTTTAAACTGTTCACCGTATAGGTAGGTCTGTTTCATGGAATCGGTCGTTGTCAGCTTTTGAGTCTGAGTCACCAGAGCTCCCTCTAGTTTGCCTGCCCTAATAAGAAGACTAGTGTAGTTGCAAAGTACCAGAGCTTTTGCGGAAAGAAATAGAAATATTAAGAAGCTTTTGTCCCACTAAATGCTCATATTAAATTATTGATCACAGATGGTAGGGTTACATTCTTGGTGCTGAGGTGTACGTGACGAACTACTGGAGCAACAGCTGAGTTTTAGTGCCGGAAAGCAACACAGTAACACCATAGTTACCTACGGCATTTTATTTGTTCTGGTGTACAACAGCATAAATCCCTTCTAACATTTTTTTTTTCAGTTAGCTTGCCACTATTAATACCTCTCTGCAACCTGGTTTTACATTTATCAACGAAAACGTTCACTCTTTACACTTTTGTGAAGCCCCCTCGAGAGGTACAAACTGACAAAAATATTACCCAGCGTAGTGCATTTAGATGGCTTTTGTTTTCTTTCCGTTTTTGCCTGCGTTTCTATTATTATAAGCAGGCGTCACTATGTGTAGAAAACGATCACTGTACCGTGTAGAAGGACCCTTGAAAGACGCACTACGCAACAACTTTCCCTCGCTGGTCACCCCACTGGCAAAAAATAGTTGAAGCCAGCAAAGCGCATTGTCATCCCATATGTGCTGGGCGCCAGTGAAGAGCTCTCCGCGATTCTCGGAAAATCAGGGGTCGAGGTGGTTCGCAAGCCTGCTTCGATGCTCATCCGCTTGCTACCACGGCCGAAGGAAGAAGGAACACCCTCTCGCTCGCTGGATTTCGTGCCGACCGGTTGTGCGCGCGCGCGCTCCGCGCGCTTGCGACCTTCGGCGTCACCGTAGCTCTGGCCGACTGGGCTCGCCCTACGTCACCTCCTGCCGCCGACGACCTTCGACGACAGTGAAGCTCTGACTTACTGGACCTGCTCTACGCCATCTACAGACGCCGACAACATCTCTCGCAAGTGTACCCCCTCCTCGGACTCCAGTGACCGTGCTTTCATCTTTCCTGTCTCTCCTATCCCCTCAGTTTGTTGTTGCTTCTTCTTCCTCTTTTCTATACTTTTACTTCTACCCTTTTTATCCCTCCTCACCCCCATCCTCTGTGAGCCCTGTGGCGGTGTCGCTCACTGAAGCAGACAATAACGGGGCTCACTTTTCTCTTCCTTTCTCTTTATTAAGAACCACTCGCGCAAGCAACACCAGCGAGTAGTCTGCAAGTTGCCGTGTTCAGAGTGTCCAGCCAGCTACGTGGGCAAAAGCGAATATTTCCGTTCAGAAAGCCCGTGGAGCGGCCGACAGGCTTGGACTGGCATTCCTGACGTGGGAGTCAGCCGCTGAGCGCTAACGTGCACCTTGCCGGGCAGCAATAAACTTTCGCGCCCGCTCGTTAAGATTACGCCAACTTAAGAACGGCGTCAGGAAGGCAGAAGTGCAACGCGGCGATTTTGCAGAGCCTTGGAGAAGCCCAACAATATGATTGATTTCTACAGCTTTTCTGTTCTAGAAACAGGGGGGAATGTCGAAAGGAGGTCCTCGCATGAATCCTGGCAGATTTACAACATGCCAACAAACTTGAACCACTTTCTAGGAACAATCTCCTCAGTATACGTTCACGGCTTTTGAAACGTGTCGGAAACGGGAAGCCGCCGATTTGGCAAAACAAGACAATGAGATGCTTTTATTACAAACACACACAGATCCTGTGAAAGTTACCAAGTCGTTCCTCACACCCCAGGCCCTCTACGAACTTCCCATCTTCTT